TATAACCGGTGAGGCCCAAGCTGACCAGAGCAAGGCTTTCGGCACTCCCTCTACATCGTCGTCGTCGTCCTCGACAGCATCCAGCATCACCATGTTCCGTACAGGCTCACCCTACTCGCCGTTCTTCACGTCGGGCTTCTTACTCTCGCAGTCCGACTATGCAGAGGACCTCAGGTCTTTTCTTTCATTCGACCATGCCGAGGCGTCGTCTTTGCCACCGTACGTGCTCAATCCTACAAGTCTCCTTTCAGCCGCTGATAATATGTACAGGGCACTCCCAGACTCGCCACGATTCCTTCCATCCCCAAAACCTGCCCCCAGCACTGTGCTGCCATCCCCTCCCGCCATCGCGCGGACGCCCAGTACGGCTTCGACCCGCTACCGTCGCTTGAAGCGCTCTGATGCCCTCGCCCAGCTCGAGGGCAAGGGCAAGCGCCCTGTACTGGCGACAATCAGCCAGAACTTTATGAGCATGACGGACGACGAAGGCGATGATGAGATGTCCAGCGACGAATCGTCCGATGACGATGAGTCTTTCATTGAACTACCACCATCCATTCGCCGTCACGCGTACTCACAGTCGTCCCCCACCGTTCTCACCAACACGTCCCCATCATTCTTCTCCACAAAGACACACTCGATCTCATCTCGATCAAAACATACTTCGCTCCAGCCACTCCAGTCGTTCATGGACCTCAAAGACGAGGATTCATGGCGATGGCGGAGCTTCATTGAAATATCAGTCGCCTAATTCTCATCCTCGTCCTGCTCCATGACTTGCACGGCGCTCATATATTTTTCTGCGTCCCACCTCCACTCCCTGTCCTCGTTCGCTTCGCTTTCATTATGCTATAGTAGTTATACTCCCTCGTTTATATATTAACAACTTAATCACACTTCTCTCGTTTAGCCTCTGTACCATTTGTACCACACACACCCGAACTTTCCATTTGTACCATACACTCCGCACACAAACCCAATTGAATGAATGTTGTCGCCACCTTACTTTGTTCTGTTCGGATTCCACTCAGTTGAATGAACTACCACGACTTGAATAACTAGGTTCCAAAGAATGGGCCGCCCATCCCGGGCCCTTCCTCTCTCGACTCGGGCTCAATAGAGACGAAGCACCGAATGAGGAAGCACCTCTCCAGCTCAAGGGATCCGACGTATTTTCGTCTTCGAGTTTTCCTGATGGCAACGAACTGCGGTCTGGTCTTCATCTGATTCCCGCGTCCAATGCCCTATTGTCAGTGTGGATCGCCTTCATAACGCCTATTGTCTTCGTCCTACGCATGCACACGATTTTCGGGGGCAAGAAAAGCAAGCCGTTCCCCGTGTCAGTGTCAGCGCACACATAATCTGCCACGCCGCAGACGTGTGTGGTACTTCCATTCCATGTGTCCAAAGTGTTCTCGGTGACAGCGCGCGCAGATGATTACCCTTCGTACACGGTAGCCCAACTTAGGCTGTTACTATCTGTAACATGTTCCATTCTCTCTGGAACGGGCGATCCTTGACTAGGACTGACCTCCCGCGTCGGACGTAACTCGGGGCTTTCGGGTCACCTCCGGGAATGAACATGCACAAACCGAGGTTTGCTCCCCCCTCCGCATGCTGGATTAGACAAGGAGTTCTCAAGCCCTCAAAGCCCGGTGCATGGCCGCGCTGATTTCGTCCCGCACCAGTTGATAGTGATAGTGATATCTGGCCTAGGCGAGATTCAGACTACCACAGCTTCCGCGCAGCCTTTCATTATGCATTCATGTCTTCTCCATCCCCGGCCCAGAACTAGGAGAAGTTGATCATGAGCCCACCGTGTACATGTTGAGCCTGCGAATTTTTAACACGGCCAGTTGACGCGCCATAACTACGGCGGTCGTGTGAAGTCGAGAAAGGTACAAGAAGGATTGGTGGGGAAATGCATCGCCTGGTAGGCGCCCTGCTGATGAACAAGTCTTTCGCGACCACTCCCTTGGGTGTGAATGGCTCTCAAGGGTGTTGGACGCGGGTAAGAAGACGTATGGATGCATGTTACCTGCTATACAGAGGCCACAAAGCCAGGAAAGCACCCTAGTTCTAGAGTACAGTCTGGAATTCCTGTAATGCGGCTTGTTAGAGTCTTCTGGGTATCAAGTATAGATAGATACCAACACTGGACAGGAATAATCATTGACGTGCAACGTTAAATCAGCGCGCTTACTCTGGACGTTAAACTCGAGGTTGTTCGTCTCCCTATCTTGTATGTCATTGATTGATAACCTAACCTATGAGAATGAGAATGACAGAGATCCCGTCTTGAGCTGTCAGAAAAGCGGTAATCCCGTCCAACTGAATAGACATCAAGTTTCATTGAACAACGATTTGCGGCTGATCTTGATGCTTAGCAGCTATGAAGATTCTGATGCAAGTAGCCCGAGTGTAAATGACCATCAGATTCAGATGCCCAAGTTGAAGTTCGGTTTAAACAGTGGCGGTGTACAGAAAAGGACAATTCTCCTTCGGCTGCAGGAGAGCTATTGGTGGAGACTGAGTACTGAGTTCTGAGAACAGTCTGTTTGATTATGGGCTCCCGTTTGGCGGATTCGTAAGCAGTTCCCACGTTTGCCGCCGGCAAGTACTTGGGCGGATTTCGAACATGTCCGCCGTGGCGCGACCAAGTTGGACTGTGTAGATGTAGTTATGCCCTTTGAGCTGTGTTTATTGTATCTGAAGGGTATTACTCTGTAAAATGGATCAATACCTGCTCAATAATGTCTGTTTGTTTTCCGTCACTGGCAAATGTTACAGTCACGACCACGAGTAAGTCGATCGTTGTAGGTTGCAGACGACGATGACGAGCACGTACAATACGCCCTTGGAACCCGTCTTTTCGTTCGTTGCAGAATGCCTCTCGTCCATGGAAAGCACGTTCTACAGGCTGCCTGGTTCCGCGATTATTGAACGCTACGTCCGAAGCTCACATCAAAATGACCCCGGTCGAACACTGCTCGAACTTATCCTCGTCGCGCTGGTCATTCGCACTCTGCTTCAGTCGCGTACACGCGCTGATAGGTCGGCGAAAAACTTCATAGAATTTTCCGACAAGGTGCGTGAGTTTTATTTACACTCAGGACCTAGGGACTCAGCTGTTGCTAGGAAGTTGACGAACTCGTTGATGAATGGGTACCGGAACCACTGGCACAACCGTTGACTGAACGAGAAGAGGCCGAACTCAATTTTGCACCCGTTATTGTTGGCCAGAGCGGTCCCAAGCCCAAGCTGGCGTCGACCGGCAAGACAGCGCTCAACTTGTCCAGTCTGAATTTTACCAACCTTGCCGGGAACGAAATAATCAAGGACAAGGCTATTGATGCTCTCAAGAAATACGGCGTTGGCAGCTGTGGTCCTGCTGGGTTCTATGGCACCGTTGGTACGTTTCCTGACATCAACCCTATTCCCTTACTCATCGCTTTCGCAGACGCGCACTTGGATTTGGAACGAGACCTCGCCGACTTTCTGGGCACAGAAGCGGCTATCCTGTATTCTCAAGGCTTCTCCACCATCACTTCAGTTATTCCTGCGTTCTGCAAACGAGGAGATATTATTGTGGCCGATCGTAGTGTTTCCTTCCCTATCCAGAAGGGCATGCAGATATCCCGTTCGACCATTCGCTGGTTTGATCACAATGACCTGAAGAGTCTCGAAGAAGTGCTTATTTCCATCGAGAAGGAGCGCAAGAAGCGTCGTGGGCCCTTGACTCGCCGCTTCATCGTGACAGAAGGCATTTTTGAGAAGGATGGCGCCATGGCGGACCTCCCGAAACTGGTATGACTTTCGTCCGTTGAGTACCCAATGCTCACATCGCCTCAGATTGAACTCAAGACAAAGTATAAATACCGTCTCATCCTTGACGAGTCCTTTTCCTTTGGCACTGTGGGACGCACTGGACGCGGACTTACCGAACTCTATAATGTACCTGCGTCCAAGGTCGATATGCTCATTGGTTCGGTCGCTATAGGTCTTTGTGCAGCAGGTGGTTTCTGTGCCGGAACCCAATTCGTGGTAGAGCACCAGCGCATTAATGGTCCTGGCTTCGTCTTTTCCGCCTCGATGCCGCCTCTTCTCGCCGTCAGTGGTTCTGAGGGCATTAACATCTTGCGTTCTTCTCCCTCTATTCTCGAATCACTCCATGATAACACGCGCGCTGCTCGCGCTATTCTCGATAGAGTAGATGGCATCACCATTCCGTCCCACCCCGCTTCTCCTATGATACATATTCAACTCAAGACGCCCTCGACGAGCAGCTTACTTCCGTCTACCGCTGCACATATCCCTACTAAACCTTCCAATCCCTCGTCGATCCTTCCAAGGGAGGCTAGCGCGTGGAACTGGGACATCGCGACAGAGGAGAATATTCTTCAGGACGTGGTGGAAGAGGCTTTAGCGCAGGGCGTCATGATTTCGAAGGCTCAGCGTTTGAGGGGCCAGGAAATGGTCGAAGTGCGGCCGAGTATCCGCCTCACGATGACTTCTGGGCTCACGAAGAAGGAGACTGAGAAAGCTGTTGGGATCGTCAAGGTGGCGCTGCAGAAGGTGTTGTCAAAGCGCAGGTGGTAATCTATATCTGTAGACTCTTGGCTACCTAATCATGGCGTCCTGCTAACTGTTCGTTACACTATGCTTTTGTTGTTAATCTCTAGACCTACACACTGCTGAGTGTCAAGCCGTTCAATCTGAAAAGAACAGGGTGGTGCAATAAAGCGACCCCCTCAAGGCGGTTGATCACCACTATTGAAACCGTTGGGGTTGGCGGGTAGATTGCCATTACCCAGGTGGGACTAGGGCGGGATGAGGGCCGCACCACACCATGTGCTCAAGGCATTTGTCGGTACCGGAATCGTTAGTAACACCTCCGAGAGGCTGCGCCCGCCGCCACTTTACCTCAGGACTCAGGAGGTTTATTCAATATTGCGCGCCAAATTTCTCACCAAAACAAAACAATGTCTGTCGGCATTTCAGGGCCTGACCGGGAATTGAACCCGGGACCTCCTCGAGTAGTCCACTAAGTGCCCTAACAAGGAATCATACTACTAGACCATCAGGCCATAGATTGTGCCATCAGTATACTAGGTGTGATCTGTTTCTAAGCGAGTTGATTCTGCTCGATGGCAAACTTTCTCGGAAATATTTGGATTTCCAACTTTTGAGTAGCATGAGGTATGTACGGCACAGATTGTAGCTGCCGTGCGTGCTAGGTGGCAGGACGAGGCTTCTCAAACGGACCTCGAGCGTAGGAACAAGTTTGTGAGTGAGATCCGCCGCTCCTGGAATTTGGTCAAGAAAGCAGTCGTATGGGATTCAGGGAATGCCGCCTTGCGGTTCAGTAATCTAATGCGTTGAGGCGTCTACGAGGCGTTCAAACTTTAGATCGGGCGCTGATTAAAGACAACAGTTGTCAGTGTTTGGGTCACTGGCATGATATCCGCGTAACACGAACATACATGAACCCTCAGAGGTCCGAGATCATACTGAAAGTTAGAACCTCTCTTCGGCTTGCTTCACAGTTGGTTGGAGCGTTCTCTTCTCACAGAGCGTTATTCAGTCGGCAATTTGAATCGGCACACTGTAGAAGACCGAGTAAGGCCGGGATATCCCGGGTTACCTTTCTGGATCACGCGTCTTCCTCTGATTTCTCTCTGCCAGTCGACGGTGGTCACTGGGGTCGAAATACATGGTGTTCTAACACGGCTTTATGCTCCTTATGTACTGCACCACTTCAGTCTTCGCGGAGAACCTTGCTCCAGCATCGGTACCTCCTTACTGGCGATTGGACTCCGCCAAATCTGCTGAGCTTGTTCAGTAAATTGTATCGCCAATTTTCAATTGATGGATATGCAGCCACGATGCAAAGTCCCATGAGCTTTCAGCGAAGCTTCATTCCTATCATCGCGTCCTTTCTGATTCTTCGGATGGCCTTTGACTGGTGACGAGGGCAAAGTGGATTATTCCTGATCCTTCAAGTACCTTGCCAGCCACATCAATGCTACTTAGATCTTACTCTTTATAGTTTGATCTCTGGCCTTCACCGTCGGCCATTCAAATCTCATCGCCGACTTGATGATATTCGGTCGATTCCAATGGTCCCGACGATGTAATCAGCATGGTTCTCTTCTTTTGCAGCGATTGCCCATCTCCCTGATTCTCGTCAATAGCGCATCTGCGACTCTGACACTGCACGGCTATTCAACTGGAGCGAACGGTGGCGGCCATCATGAAAGTCTTGCGGATCGGCAGAAAAACGAGTCACCTCCTGATTAGCTCGGTTGACAAGCAAAAAACGTAGAAGTATAATGACGCCCCACGTGTCAATCTCACTACGGGAAAGAAGCAAACAAAAGTAGGGCTCCCACTCGGTCGCATTTAGGCTGGACATGCCTCTTAAAGAGCGGTGACCCCAATTCTTTGCTCATCGGCGCCTCTCTCACCATCATCCACCATGTCAGACTATATCTCTTCCTCAGGCCAATTTCCGTCCAGCCATTCAGCAACGCCTTTCGGTTTACTCCCTCCTTTGGCCTCGGTGAACCAGTACGCGCCGACTTGGGATGATGCATCCGCCGCCAACTTCTACACCGACAGCGGCCAGTATAGTCTTGGAGCTTCGGTATACGACCGCACTGGGTCCTATACTCCTCACCTGTCATCTCCATCACCAGCCTCGTACCATAATCCGAAGCCTCGATATCCTGTCCAGGTCAGTAATCTGGACTCTATCGCGAAGCCTTGCCTACTGATCATCTCTCAGCCTTTGCTATATCCTGGAAGTTCTCAAGAATACACCGACGGGTATTACCTACAAGGTAGTGCCATGCTACCAATGATGGCTCCTCATGGCGCGCCGTCGAAAATGGACAAGTCATACGTGAGTTCTTCGATGCTGTTCAGCAAAGATCTTTGATATAAATCTTGCGACGCAGACTGCTCCTCGTCACGAGCTCTATCCTGTTCCTCGTAGCCTCATACACGACTATCAAGATGACTACAATACTGAACCGCGCGCTCCTTACATCGACAATTCCTCTCGGGATCGCGCCATTCGTCCACCAACTTCCCCTTTTGCTGAGTTCACTCCCCGCATCTCGCAGATGTCGCACGGCTCTCCTCCGCAATCTGCTGTGGATTTGCACCGCGTATCTCCTGGACTACCATTCCAGGAGTCGTCGTCGCCGCCCCACTCGCTCTCTCACCACGGCGTCGAGTCTTCCACGTCCGAGAAGGTTCCCAACCTCGCCTGTTTCTTCTGTCGAAGTCGCAAAATTGCGTGCGGCCGCCCCATGGACGGAGGAGCTTGCAAGTATGTCGAAACCCCTCAATCTCGAACTATTCAGCTGACCCGAAGCTTTCTATAGTCAATGCACCAAAAGAGGGAACAAGTGTGTCTATCCAGTCGGCTCGAGGCGGGGTCAACATAAACGAGGCACTCCATTGCCCAAAAAGCAGAACAGCGTCGGGCATATGGGTTTGAACGTTGGTTTTGGATTTTGATGCTATACTAGTACTACTGCAACTCCCGCTAGTAATATCCATGTATTTCTTGATGCCGCTATTCAACGTTTCTTGCCAGTGACCATATTACAAGCGCCCTCAGGTACGACGCGAGGCTTCCAACGCAAGTTACCGGGACCGACGTTGAATGGCGGTCTGTAAATATATGCCCGGATCGTCGACGCTTGAGCGCCAAGAAGTCAAAGGCGGCGGGAATTGCCGCAGAAGTACATAATATGCCTTCGAATGGGGTCTCTAGAATCGATGTGGCGTAGAGGCAACGGCTATCCCCGTAAGTAGGCTTGCGCGGTAGAGATTGTCCCTCCTTCAATCTATACGCGAAAGCTTGTACTTTGAGGCGGCGGCCTGGATGAGCGTCGTAAAACGTGTTATGCTTAATTGGCACTGAGCGTTGGCAAGCGAGGGATTTAAGCGGACAGTATCCGAGTTCCGGGCTAGACACTGTCGAAAGTAACTCTTTTTTTTCAGTTGCCGGCAATCAGCTTGGCGACAAACAAGATGCATTCTTGAGCCCTTCTACCCGAGCGGCAAGCCCGAACGATCGTACGGGAGAAAGCAGGGTTTGTGACAAGAAATTGTCTTAACGCCACATGCCGAGATGACACTTTGAATCAAAAGGGAAGTTGTTCGCCTTCGGAAACAGCCAGACGTTGAGCACCTTCGTAAGTAGTCCCCGTCGAACTTATGAAATGATTGTGGATTTCTTAGATGTAGTACATTCTTTTCAAACACGAAATAACCAATGAAGAAGTACAACAACTGCAACTACCAGAAAGAAAGAAAGAGTAAAAATGAGAGCATGACTAGGGTGGTAAAAACATAGGTAAAGGGAGGGCATAAGCATACGGAGGGTAGTTGCAGTGTGGGGTGGTGTTACATTTACATTTGACTGCTTCTCAACACGATATACAAGAATCGAACGCAATAAGTCATCGCAAAATGATGCGCAAGAGGACGAGACTCAGATCTAAGTAACAACGGTGATTAAACAAAACGCAGACAAAGAGCATCAGCACATACCAGATATCCCAAGGCACTGCTGCCGGCAATCTCCATCTCGCGGTAGTTAATGGATTGGTGCAGAATATACGACGTGCCCATGCTTTCGCGTGTAGCATCGTCGAGATCGAGATCGATATCATCATCTTCGACAAGAGCATTGGCGAAGACACCCGAGAACGACTGGGCGCGCTTTACCACGTTCGAGGGAGCGAACGCGTCGTACGACTCGGCAATGGCCATGGGCTTCTTCGCCTTTGACCACTTCCTAGGCCTGACGCTGACGCCACGAAAGAGGGAACCGGCGCGTGAAGGGGCATTCTTGGGAGTCTCTTCTTTCGCCTTCTCCGCCATACGAGGCGTGGCGGGAGCCATGTGCATGATCCCGACATCCTTCTTGCGAATGCGGAGCACGACACCCGCATTATGCATAGCCTTGCGGAAGCGGGAACGGGGGCGGCCTACGCTGATAGGCATAGGATCCATGGTTTCGGACCGCGCCGGCAGAGGTGGGGCCTGCACGGTTGGGCGCCTGAACGCAAAAGTCGCGGTGGTGTGCGAGGTCTTGATGCTGGACGAGCGAATCTTGACGAGCAGTTTGGCGGCCTCGGGGATGGATCATCGGGGAGGGACTGAGTGAAGATGGGTCGAGGACCGTGGGCATGTCGTCGACGTCTGGGGAGCTGGGGCGCGAGTGAGGGTATACATTACGTGCATGGACGCCCTGGGGGAAGTGGGATAGTCCATTGTGCGGTTTGGATCGGTCCTAAGAGGGCTGTCGATGACCAACGAGGGAGGGCGCAGGCTGGAGACTGTCTGTTTGGTGTTGAGCATATTGGAAGACGATGGCTGACAATGAAGAGCAGCGCGCGACGCTCGAGTCTTTATAGTCCACCGCGTTGTGAACAATGCCAGGGTCGTTTGTACGATCGAGCCCCAAATCCTTTGTCTAGTGGCCATTGTCGGTGGACGACATTTTCCATTGTTCAGATATGGCAACTGCACTTTGCTAGTGCTATTCTGGACGGGTAGACTTTGAGAAAACTGGCCTGTTTAAGCAGTGCAGCAAAGTATGGTCCACCATACTATTTGTCGAAGAACACTACTAATGTCCAAGCTACACTCCGGTGAGTGGCGAAATCAAAGAACAGGTTGCAAGGGCAGGAGTTGGCCGAGATAGAGCGTAGCTGGAGGCTTTAATGCACGGACGACAATGAAGTCCCCGTGGAATATCCCGGACGCCATTGTCAGGCTGTGGATAGGCCCTTTTCTTTGTCTTCGTTATTCGCCAATTATGGTAATGTATCAGAGCGGGTCCACATTAGTCCCTGCCTGCACTACCTCACTGTGAATCACACATTTACCTTTCATTGCTGGGCGCAAGAGTCTGGAGTACAAGAGGCATCGTTTTCTGAAAGCACCGGCAGGAGGAAGAACTGTGCATTGAGGGGAGATTGCAAGGATTTCGCTATGCGATGATTTCAGCCAAGGCGATTAGAAACCAGATGAAAGTCAAAGGTCGGAAACTAGAATGGGTGGG